CCATTTAAAGAATGTATAGATATTCTAAACTGACAACATTTTATAAAATGAAGAATACTCTTTCGACTCAATAGCTCTTACCTACAATACCTAATACTAATCATTATAACCTCAGTGGACATTTATCAGCGCGGACAGTTAAATGTAGACATATGCCAGATCACTTTTACCTATTACAATAAAACTATGGAATTCCCAAAGTCCTGAAATTTAAAATATTGATACCTTATCCCAAAACTCGCTATGCAGACCTAATAACAAAACTATTATCTTTGACCTTAACTATCAAGAATATGCCAAATTATCCATTCTCGCTTCAAGCTCCATTAATTGATTTGGATGCCGATAGGTTTGACAGACATATCATCGACAGCCCCTCGTGTTGTGTGGTCGTCCAGTCGAAAATGATGTACATTATTTCTTCACATGCAATAAATGCATGGATTTATGACACATATTCTCTTTCTATTTAAAGGGATTTAGCATAGACACAGTTCTATGAGGATGTGCATCGCTCACTAGCAATGATCTACACAAGTTATTAAAATCTATTCCTGATTACATAATAAAATCTGATCGATTTGATGTTTCATAAATACTTTTTTTATTGACTGGCAAACAAACAAATCGATATTCATGCATTACCCTTATCTTGATTGTTGATAAGTAAGAATTGTGTCATCACTGTGTCATCTGTTTCTGTATTTACTTGCACATGCATTTGCATATGGGAGCGGCCTTCAAATAAGCTCCTCGGCACTTGTTGGTCAATCCATTTATAACGCATATTTTCATGAATAAAATATGTTTAAATCAAGCATGTCGGATGTCACACAGAGAAAGAATTTTCGAAGGTATAGTGACAAGATCCCTGTCAGGAGTCAAGTTCTCCTGATCTCCTCTGGGACATGGGGAGGTTTAAGGTAGAAACAGCTTCATACTATATAACTGTTGAAGGAAGAAGCATCTTGAATGAGGATTGTTTCACGCACGTAGTGGTAATATACCCATCATAGTGAATGTGACATGTTGTAAAACGGTTTTATGATTTGATTCCCCTAATCGGGTCAGTTCTGAATATTATCATTTTTTTATCAAGTTTTGTGCACCCTATTATAAACTGTGAAACACAGTTTGACATTTGCGTGTAAACAAACGGCTGCAAAGTAAGGCCACGTATAGTCCAAAGCATTGTCAGACGATATATCACTTTTGAGTTAATTCTGTTTTCAGATTTCAGCGGTTGGGCAAAAGAACTGATGGGTGCACATAATGTGTTATATGCTATGTTTACACGGGGCTGTTGTCCTTATTTCTGGTGTCACCCCAAGGTACCGAAATAGATGGCAACAAGGCCGTGCAAACCATGGTGCCCTGAACAAGAAGGCCTACACCCTGAACCAGAAACTGAAACACCTCTGCGCAGCTAATGGAATGACCTATGTAGACCATCCTCATTTCATGTGTTCTTGGAGAGTAAGGCAGGACTTTATTGCATATTATGGGCTTCATCTGAAACTAGCAGGACAGAAACACCTAGCTTCAGATATTATCTGTGCTCTTTTGGTGGCATGTTATTCAGAAAGGAGTGATTGTTAAATACGTTTGCATTCATTCAATACGTACATTAATAATGTACCATAAGGTCTTGGCTCCGGTTGAATGCTGAACTTTTTATTTACCGTTTACTTTGCATTAAAATTGGTACCTGCTCTTCTTTCGAATAAATGGCAACAACAACAAGACATTAATATTAATACTGTGTTACGTTCTTTCAGTTGTAACCCGTTAGCTTTACATGTGGCATTTTGTAACATCACAATGTGGCGTTTAGGTAGACATGATACTCATCTATGGATTTAATCAAAATTTAGATACATATGTGAGGTGTAGGTTGAGGTGATGTGCTTTTGAGAGCCCGGGCCAAGCCAGACCGAACGCTTGTGATATAGCAACTCTGTTGAGAATATGGAAAAGCGGGCTTCACTTTGAGCAACGTGTTTGCTTCAAATACTACGTTTTAGAACTTTATACAGTGACATGTAGGTAGATATAATGCTAATCTATGAATCTGGACACATTTCATGATACATGTGTGAGGTTTAAGATGCTTTTGACAGCCTGGGCCAAGTGGGGCCAACAGAGACTAAACACTTTTGATTGAGGCTATGTGGAAAAAGGAGAGAGAAAAGGGCTGGAAAAGTGATATATAGGTAAATATAATACTAATCTGTGAATTAAAACACAATTCAAGATACATGTGTGAGGTTTCAGCTGCTTTTGACGTCCCGAGGTATGCCGGGCCGAACAATAGTGGCGGTGATTATGTTGAGAGTGTAGGGAAGAGATCGTTTCATTTGCAGATGGGTATGCCTTACATACAATGAACAGTTGCCTTATAGGGTGGTATTTGATTGGATATAGATTTAAAAACATTTTCGGGTCGACAGAAATGTTTATCGGGAGTGACTGAAGCATTTTTGCGTTTTAAATCCTGTCTCGTTTAACGATTCTTCTTTTAGGCGTAACCTTTTGTCAGCCACGTTCAGATGCCGATAACCTCTAGATATGTATACGTTAGCACCCTCCTCAAGGGGGATATGGATTTCAACGCTCGAGCCGTCAGGCTAACCTACTTATACCACGTGGGCGCCGAATGGACTCGTACATTGCTTGTTGCACGTGCGTTTCCTGCACCGCCAAGGTTGTTATCCACATATCAACCTCTGCACGTGCAGATAGAAGGTTGATACACAGAAAATCAACCTGCCAGAACAATGGACATAACATACCCTAGTGGTATAAAGTCAGACGTCGCCCGCGATGTCGCCCGTTATTTTTTATTTTTGTTGCCAAAATATATTTTACAAAGCGACGTCGCGCAAGACGTCGGGGTTTTTTTTACGCGCCACGCGATGGCAATTTTAGGACACCATACATAGTGGTGGACCTGTTCCGTTGTGAGTAATTTCCTATGCGTTGTTCAATAAATTCGCATGTTATGAAAACAACCATTAAAACCGGATAGCTGGAACATCAGCATGCAAAGTTCAGTGGGTTATCATTTGCCATCAAATTACAGATCAGTCAACAATATAAAGTCAACGACAGAGAATATTCAGTCTCGTTGGGGCAAAACAGGGTGGACATTGTATCAATGGCATTCTGAAAATCAGGTGTTCTCAAAAAGGCTTAGAACGTTCTGGCCTACCAGTAGCAGAAACAAACAGAAAGGGGATGGGCTATTTATATCTGCGGTCATGGTGTATGCCGTACACAATCTACAGTCAATAAAGACGACAAAACCTTATATAAATGATTAAATATATAAATTGATAATTATTTAAAGACCCTGAACATAAGCAGTCTACCTTTTCGAATCCTCGCTGCCATTGTCGAGTGAAGTTCACTTTGAGATTGTTTCAATGGCAAGCTGTTCCTCCAACCTGATCTGGTCGAGTTGAACAACAAAATAAGCTTCCTGGTTGTGCTTACGGAGCAGTGTAGAGAGATATGGATTGATCGATTCACACATCACTCCTTGTTAGATACAGATTGTTACACGAGCATGTGTGTCATACGACTGATATGAAATGAATTTGAAATTTTGTATTGACTCGCTCTCGCTCGGGCAATGCATAAATTTGCACGAGTTTCGTACAAGCCGTATGATACGCTTGCTCGAGTGTAATAATTTCTTTATTATCCATCTTATTCATGTACATTTGTGCAGTAAAACACGGTAAGCAAGTGTGACGGCCCTCTTCATTGATGTCATGTTCAGTTGTTTAATGACGTCACAGACGACGAATACAGAAACAATGGTTGCTAGGCAAAATTGATATGTGGTCAACGTATGGGCAGTTGCGTACTAATCTCGTATGTCACACGAGTGTCGTATCGCGTTGACCTGTGCCGTAACGACTTGACCTGACATTCTAACGATTTGATTGGATAACCGATGACCTCAGTTAGGTCACGTTGTGACGGAACTACTTTCTCATTCAGAACAAACACGTGATTTCATTCATTCTACAACTTATAATAAATGTTATTATAATTCAGGTCATACGAATTACATACATACGAATTATACGAAACTCGTGACCTTCCTATTGTTTCTGGTCAGATACCATAGGAAGGACACTCGTTTCGTATAATCCGTATTTAATGAGACCACGTATTCTCTATATATGACACTGGTTATGTTCCACCATATCTTTCTGTTCCTCTGATCCCTAGTGCAACCCTCTATAATGCTGCCCAGAGAACGGAGGATCGGGGGTTTCGCTCCCCAGACATAACAAAATATATTCAAAGATGGAACTTGTTATTACCCTGTAACAAATGGTAGGAAACACGGGTTCGATCACTCGGCTGATGCCGCTGTCAATATTGGACAGACGAGACGACTTGCTTTGTAACCTGGTATTGTATTCTTCTTGAATGAAGACTTAACGGCAATAGTTGTCAGTATCCATTCTGATCACCCAATACCCGGTCCGGCTAGCCGGATTATATAGTTAATATATTATTGTCAACATGCTTTCCTTACACATGAAATAGCCATGGAAGCCTGGCAGGGTAGAAGGTGGGGTTAAACCCGGTTATAACATCACTCCTACACACCCAATACACCTCACTCACTCACTCAGCCCGCCACCAACACACTCACTACCTCACTCATCCCAGCTGCCAACGTGCATGCAACTTCAACTCACTCACTCGACTCATTCTTGAACAATAAACAACGAAGATCCAAGTTAGAATTTGTATTCAGCAACCCGTACTTGTCGTAAGAGGCAACTAACGGGATCGGGTGGTCACATAGCTGACTTGGTTGACACATGTCATCGGTTCCCAATTGCGTAGATCGATACTCATGCTGTTGATCACTGGATTGTCTGGTCCAGACTTGATTATTTACAGACCGCCGCCATATCGCTGGAATATTGCGGTGTTAAACAAGAAACAAACGTTGAACAATAAATAATAACAAATTTCTCAGGTGAATGTTTATTGAAGACGTCATAGCTCAACACCTTATTGGCAGTGTTAGTGCTGTTTAAAACGCTACCGGGCCCTGGCGAGATTCTTGTGTTGTCTGAAGGAAGGTGATGTTGCCATACCTACCTCCGCAGCAGGGGTGGGTGGAGAAAGCTCTGTTCCACTGACGGTAGTATCCTGGAACACAAACAACAGCAGTCACCTGATGTATTCATACACCCAAACCCTATGGCAGCGTGAATCTGTGATATAGATCTTGGCCTTGCAATGTTAACATTACTACTACTACTGCTGCTGCTGCTGCTACTACCACTACTGCCACCACCACCGCCGCTACTACTACTAGTACTACTACGAGTACTACTACTACTACTACTACTACTAGTACTGCCACCACCACTGCTACAACTACTACTACTACTACTACTACTACTACTACTACTACTAGTACTGCCACCACCACTGCTACAACTACTACTACTACTACTACTACTACTACTACTACTACTACTAGTACTACTACTACTACTACTACTACTACTACTACTACTACTACTACCACTACCACCACTACTACTACTACTACTACTACTACTACTACTACTACTACTACTACTACTACTACTACTACTACTACTACTACTACTACTACTACTAGTACTGCCACCACCACTACTACAACTACTACTACTACTACTACTACTACTACTACTACTACTACTACTACTACTACTACTACTACTACTACTACTACTACTACTACTACTACTACTACTACTACTACTACTACTACTACTACTACTACTACTACTACTACTACTACTACTACTACTACTACTAGTACTGTCACCACCACTGCTACAACTACTAGTACTACAACTACTACCACCACCACCACCACTGATAGTTCTCCTACCTAGAGAGTGTACACTTACATTACCTCCTCACTGAGAGAATCTTTAGTTGTGAAATAATTTACAACTGTAATAAAGATGTAGTATCTTACCTGATGAAAATGCGTGCAGCACTTAACAAATATGCTCTTTGCAGGTGCAACTCACCGTCACTGTGTCCGCCTTGACGCCCGTAGCCTACTGAACCAAACTGTGGTCCTTGGCTCCATCCCTGTTGACCTTGAAACTGGAACGGGCACCTGCAAGATGGTTGTCCACCGTTATCGTACCCGTCTGACTCCGACCAGTGGCCACCTCTGCTTCTCCCTCCACTACGACCTCGACTATGTCGACCCCTGCTGCGTCTTCCTCCACGACTCCGCCCTCCACTACTATCACTACTATCACTACTATCACTACTATCACTGCTATCACTACTATCACTACTATCACTACTATCACTACTATGACCTCCATGACTGTAACCTCCGCGACTGCGGCCTCCGTACCGACGACCTTCTCGACTGCCTCGGCCAAAGCAGTCCATGCACCCGTAATCCATACGTTCGCGTGATCGACTACGCTTTGTCAGATGATGACTTTGATCATCCTCCTCTGCAAACACGACCGCCACTGAAACAACAGAAAAATATTACGCATTATATTTTATTTTCTCGTGAGATCAGGAAACGTTTTCCCTTGTGAACACAGATTCAATAAAAATGGTCATCATATAAAGTTCCGAGGGCTAAAATGCCAGATTCGACCGAAATATGTTGTTGACACCAGACCCATGTCCAAGGGTTTCATAAAAGAGGTAAAGTTCTATATCTGAGTTATTGGGCCTTCCTTCCCTAAATACTGTTCGAAAACGGCAGTAGACCGAACCGTGAAAAGCCGAGTCTTATTGCGGGTAGGGGTTGTGGCGAGTATCTCTACTCCGCAGATTGCTATCTTAAGGATAGTAAAGATGTACATGCAGATAAAGGTGGCACAACGTCTGAAAATAGACTCGATGTGGTCATCATGCCACGGGACTCTGTTCCTGGACAGTGACAATGGGGCGCCAGTCATTTGATCCGTAGCATATTTGAGATATTGGAACGTGTTTTGAGTAACAAAACATTTCTTAAATTAAGTAATGACTCTTAAGTGTCAATCCTTAACATATCGCATGTAATATAATATTTTTAAAACTTTGTCCTCTTCCCCATGTTAATAGATGAATTCAAGATGAGTTCGTGTGATATTAACATTGAGACACGCAACCTTTGCTCGTCCCGGGTTCGATTCCCCATATGGGTACAATGTGTGAAGCCCATTTCTGGCGTCACCCGCCGTGATATTGCTGGAATATTGCTAAAAGCGGCGTAAAACCATACTCACTCACTCACGCAACCTTTCATAAACTCACCAACAAATCTGCAAACTCACTCACTCACCCGCCCGTCCAACCACACATCCACTCCCTTGGATATTCACTCACTCACCCAATACCAAACCTGCTCACACCTCAACACATTGCTGATAAACATATAAAAATATTCAGGATCGGCAAGTGTTCGAACCAACGATCACGGGTCCTGACACAACAAAGGGACATAACTCTGGAACGTGAATTTCAGCACTTAAGGGCCACCTAGGACTCCAATGTCTTGATGGCAAGAAATGACGTGTTGTGGAACATATAAACATACTCGGGATCGACAAGGGTTCGAACCAACGATGGAGGATTCCTGACACCCCTGATGGACGTTTTTTGTAGCAGCTCCTGAGGGCCACCTGCGACCCCGATGTCACATTGATGGCAAGAACAGATATGTAACACATGTTATATTTGGTATACACTTTCTCAGTGAAATATAGATTCTCATACTTTAGTTAGGTTGAGCACCTATTCGCCAGCACACAAAGTCAACATCTAGCCCACTCAACCACCACGGCTGTGTTACATATGATCACTATCTAAATGGCATTGTGTATCACAGAAATTACGTATTGTGGATTGAGTCAAAAGCTTAATTTGAAAAGCACCCAGGTGTTCATATAGTTATAGATGTGTGTATAAACCTCTGAAGACATGTGGCATTGACCTTTATCGAGTTGTAAGTTCAACAATAACCATGCACATAGATATCTACAGTCCTTGCCGAGATCAGTGTGTAAATGAGTATGGTTATGCTCACCAACGGCAGCCGTGACGACAAGCAACAACGGCCAAGTCCTCATTCTCAGAATATGACGGATACAACTCTCCCCGTCAACGATGTTGCTGTGATCGTCTCAAAATGTCCAACAAGTTCTGACCCCCTCGATCGGCGTCTGTAAAACAAAACTGGCGGGTAAAGGGGGCTCTAGGAGGAATGGAAATGGGATATGGCCCTAGGTTATCAATCCGTATCCAATATCACCTGGGTCCGGTTTCTTAGATACTCAGTACTGCCTGTATGTTTACAAGATGATTAAACTGGTTCAAGGGTCATGGTGACCAATAGCATTGTCTATACATAGAAAATGTTCATCTGAGGTTCCGAGATGCTGTTCCGAGTGAGTGAGAGGTCGTATGTATGTATGTATGTATGTATGTATGTATGTATGTATGTATGTATGTATGTATGTATGTATGTATGTATGTATGTATGTATGTATGTATGTATGTATGTATGTATGTATGTATGTATGTATGTATGTATGTATGTATGTATGTATGTATGTATGTATGTATGTATGTATGTATGTATGTATGCATGCATGCATGCATGTATGTATGTATATGTGTATGTATGTATGTATGTATGCATGTGTGTGTATGTATGTATGTATGTTATATGTATGTATGTCTGTGTATGTGTGTATGTGTATAGTGTGTATGTATGTATGCGTGTGTGTATGTATGTATGTGTGTATGTATGTATGTATGCATGTGTGTGTATGTAAGTGTGTATCCATGCATGCATACATGTATGCCTCTGTGTGTATCAATGCATGCGTGTGTGTGTGCGTGTGCGTATGCGTGTGCGTGTTGAAAGAAGCCAAGTGTGTATTAAGTATACTCTCCCAAAAAAGGAAGCACATGGGTAACATTGATATGAGACATTTCAAATATTTTTCAAAATTAAACTAGTGCTCAAAAGAAAACTATACACCGCACAATATTACATAAAATTCACAAAAATATCAAATGAAGTGATAAAATCATACTGTGCCATGTCACACACGTACAGACTCATCCTTTCATGGAACCCACGGCGAAACAAGTTAGCGAATCCCCGGAACGTCGAAAAAACTCCAAAACGACTTTTTCTGATGTAACACGAATGCACGTGCATACTGACGGTATTAAACGGCCTGCGCGACACGTGAGCAACACAGTTATATAAAGAACACAAAACATATACCACATTTGAGGCAAATCGAAGGAGAGAGTGAGATGTCGGAATGACCCTACAAGGAGCTAAGCACACCATCATTGTCTGAATCTTCGGCTGCACCCGAGCAACTGTCATCAGACAAAAACATGTCAGACAGGCCTAAGAGAGGTCGAACATGTGTGACAACGCCCGATGATGATCGCTACATCCAGACAATTCATCCGAGAAATCGTTTTGTAACAGCGACGTCAACGACAGCGACGGCACTAGGACTACAGGCCCTCGTGTCTTTGCGAGGATTAAAGATTTTTTTTTCTAAAATATATACAAATTTGAGATGACCCGACTCGAAATGCTTCATAGTGCAATGATACATCATGACAAGGCCGGACACTTCGGTGCACCCTACCCGCCCTACATCGCTACGCTACAATCGTATGCAATCGATTAAAAATTTAATGTAAATATAATCATGGATAATAGCCTATCAAACACCACTCATGACACCCCCAATTCTTTATTGTTATTTCTGCAAGTCGATTGAAACCTGATTTTGACTCTTAACTAAACGATCTTGATACAAATGGATGACGATATATCCGCACAAAACGTGGGTGTGGTCAAAGCAAGCCCTTCACTCTAAGAACGGGCAGTTCTGATGAATCGTGAGCAGGGGCATTGCCTATATAAGTCCATTTTGTTTTTAGACGGTCATTGGTATTTTTTTAGCTAAACGAAAGAATATTGTTATGCCGCGACTCACTGCCATTACCCGTGAAGATCATCGTTAGAATTGAGCTTCAGTAACCCATGCTTGTCGTAAGAGGCGACTAACGGGATCGGGCGGTCATCGTATCCTAATTGCGTTAAAGCGTTCGCTCGTCACGCCGGAAGGCCCGGGTTCGATTCCGCACATGGGCCAAATGTGTGAAGCCCATTTCTGGTGTCACCCGCCGTGGTATTGCTGGAATATTGCTAAAAGCGGCGTGAACTATACTCACTCACTCGCAAGAGGAATGGGCGAGAATTCCATAAGGTTGACTTCAAAGACTTATTCAATCCATGCTGAGATGAACAGTTTTGCTGGCTCATGATAGCCATAACAGATCTAGATACTGAAGACAAAGCCCAACTGGGACGACGCCTTAACTTATTGAACGTTATATAAGCTATGCATGTTTACAGATCTATTATACTGAGACATTTGGCCGCTACTGATCCAGATTTATATGTGTCATCTCACTTAAAGTTAACAGATAAAATTCGTGAAAATACACATATGGTGCGTTTCTTTTGGGGGTGAGTATATCGGTTGGAATTTAGAAAACAATTATATTTTGCGATAAAGTAAAAGTAATTTCTGGGTTGAATGGAGCATCCATGTTGGTCCTATAAAAATCATTTTCGCTAATCTGGACTTGTATATAGACAAGATAGAGTTACTTTACACTCATGCAGTACTGAACGTACAGTGCAATCTCAAACAGGGCTGAATACGACATTGTTGCTATTTAAAGTAATTGTAGTTTCTCTGGGTATATACATGTCTAGCTAACATGAATCCAAATTTTAATTAAGGCCCTTTTCTAGTTGATACCTGAAATTGGGGCGGTGGGCTAGCCTAATGGTTAAAGCGTTCGCTCGTCACGCCGAAGACCCGGGTTCGATTCCCCACATGGGTACAATGTGTGAAGCCCATTTCTGGTGTCCCCCGCCGTGATATTGCTGGAATATTGCTAAAAGCGGCGTTAAACCATACTCACTCACTCACTCACTGATACCTGAAATTATTGCCATAAGTTAAGTCACAACAATGACGAATGTATCTGGAACAGTGTCTTAAAGTTCATGATGTCGATCACTGGATTGGCTGGTCCACACTTGATTATTTACAGACCGCTGCCGCATAGCTTGAATACTTCTGAGTGCGACGTTAAACAACGGTATGGTAGTAAAGCCTGTCATAAAGACCCATCTCGCAGCAACAGTAACTGTTGTAGGGCTTCCTAAACACGACTAAGACCCATCTAGCAGCAACAGTAACTATTGTAGGGCTTCCTAAACACGACTAAGACCCATCTCGCAGCAACAGTAACTGTTGTAGGGCTTCCTAAACACGACTAAGACCCATCTAGCAGCAACAGTAACTGTTGTAGGCTTCCTAAACACGACTAAGACCCATCTCGCAGCAACAGTAACTGTTGTAGGGCTTCCTAAACACGACTAAGACCCATCTCGCAGCAACAGTTACTGTTGTGGGGCTTCCTAAACACGACTAAGACCCATCTAGCAACAACAGTAACTGTTGTAGGGCTTCCTAAACACGACTAAGACCCATCTAGCAGCAACAGTAACTGTTGTAGGGCTTCCTAAACACGACTAAGACCCATCTAGCAGCAACAGTAACTGTTGTAGGGCTTCCTAAACACGACTAAGACCCATCTAGCAGCAACAGTAACTGTTGTAGGGCTTCCTAAACACGACTAAGACCCATCTAGCAGCAACAGTAACTGTCGTAGGGCTTCCTAAACACGACTTAGACCCAACTCAGCAACAGTAACTGTTGTAGGGCTTCCTAAACACGACTAAGACCCATCTAGCAGCAACAGTAACTGTTGTAGGGCTTCCTAAACACGACTAAGACCCATCTAGCAGCAACAGTAACTGTTGTGGGCCTTCCTAAACACGACTAAGCTGGAAAAAGGTGATCTCCAAACAACTGCTGGTCTTGCTGTAATGTGCATTTGTGCAGTAAAACACGGTAAGCAAGTGTGACGGTCCTCTTCATTGATGCCATGTTCAATTGTTTAATGACGTCACAGACGACGAATACAGAAACAATGGTTGCTAGGCAAAATTGATATGTGGTCAACGTATTGGCAGTTGCGTACTAATCTCGTATGTCACACGAGTGTCGTATCGCGTTGACCTGTGCCGTAACGACTTGACCTGACATTCTAACGATTTGATTGGATAACCGATGACCTCAATTAGGTCACGTTGTGACGGAACTACTTTCTCATTCAGAACAAACACGTGATTTCATTCATTCTACAACTTATAATAAATGTTATTATAATTCAGGTCATACGAATTACATACATACGAATTATACGAAACTCGTGACCTTCCCATTGTTTCTGGTCAGATACCATAGGAAGGACGCTCGATTGGTATAATCCGTATTTAATCAGACCACGTATCCTATATATATGACACTGGTTATGTTTCGCCATATCTTTCTGTTCCTCTGATCCCTAGTGCAAGCCTCTATAATGCTGCCCAGAGAACGGAGGATCGGGGGGTTGGCTCCCCAGATATAACAAAATATATTCAAAGATGGAACTTGTTATTACCCTGTAACAAATGGTAGGAAACACGGGTTCGATCACTCGGCTGATGCCGCTGTCAATATTGGACAGACGAGACGACTTGCTTTGTAACCTGGTATTGTATTCTTCTTGAATGAAGACTTAACGGCAAAAGTTGTCAGTATCCATTCTGATCACCCAATACCCGGTCCGGCTAGCCGGATTATATAGTTAATATATTATTGTCAACATGCTTTCCTTACACATGAAATAGCCATGGAAGCCTGGCAGTGAGAAGGTGGGGGTAAACCCGGTTATAACATCACTCCTACACACCCAATACACCTCACTCACTCACTCAGCCCGCCACCAACACACTCACTACCTCATTAATCCCAGCTGCCAACTTGCATGCACTCACCCGAACTTCAACTCACTCACTCGACTCATTCTTGAACAATAAACAACGAAGATCCAAGTTAGAATTTGTATTCAGCAACCCGTACTTGTAAGAAGCAGCTAACGGGATCGGGTGGTCAGATCGCTGACTTGGTTGACACATGTCATCGGTTCCCAATTGCGTAGATCGATACTCATGCTGTTGATCACTGGATTGTCTGGTCCAGACTTGATTATTTACAGACCACCGCCATATAGCTGGAATATTGCGGTGTTAAACAAGAAACAAACTTTGAACAATAAATAACAACAAATTTCTCAGGTGAATTTTTATTGATGACGTCATAGCTCAACACATTATTGGCAGTGTTGTGCTATTTAAGACGTTACCGGGGCCCCTGGCGAGATCCTTGTGTTCTCTGAAGGAAGGTGATGGTGCCAGTCCTACCTCCGCAGCAGGGGTGGGTGGAGAAAGCTCTGTACCACTGACGGTAGAATCCTGGAACACAAACAACAGCAGTCACGTGATGTATTCATACACCCAAACCCTATGGCAGCGTGAATCTGTGATATAGATCTTGGCCTTGCAATGTCAACATTACTACTACTGCTGCTGCTACTACCACTACTGCCACCACCACCACTGCCACCACCACCACCACCACCCACCACCACCACCACTACCACCACCACCACCACCACTGCTACCACCACCACTAACAAGGCCACCACCAATACTACTACTGCCACTACCACCACCAATACTACTACTGCCACCATCACCACCACCACCAATACTACTACTGCCACCACCACCACCAATACTACTACTACCACCACCACCACCACCACCACTGCTACAACTACTATCACCACCACCACTGATAGTTCTCCTACCTAGAGAGTGTACACTGACATTACCTCCTCACTGAGAGAATCTTTAGTTGCGAAATAATTTACAACTGTAATAAAGATGTAATATCTTACCTGATGAAAATGCGTGCAGCACTTAACAAATATGCTCTTTGCAGGTGCAACTCACCGTCACTGTGTCCGCCTTGACGCCCGTAGCCTACTGAACCAAACTGTGGTCCTTGGCTCCGTCCCTGTTGACCTTGAAACTGGAACGGGCACCTGCAAGATGGTTGTCCACCATTATCGTACTCGTCTGACTCCGAGGAGTGGCCACGTCTGCTTCTCCCTCCACTACGACCTCGACTATGTCGACCCCTGCTGCGTCTTCCTCCACGACTCCGCCCTCCACTACTATGTCCATGACTATGACCTCCATGACTGTAACCTCCGCGACTGCGGCCTCCGTACCGACGACCTTCTCGACTGCCTCGGCCAAAGCAGCTCGTGCACCCGTAATCCATACGTTCGCGTGATCGACTACGCTTTGTCAGATGATGACTTTGATCATCCTCCTCTGCAAACACGACCGCCACTGAAACAACAGAAAAATATTACGCATTATATTTTATTTTCTCGTGAGATCAGGAAACGTTTTCCCTCGTGAACACATATTCAATGAAAATGGTCATCATATAAAGTTCCGAGGGCTAAAATGCCAGATTCGACCGAAATATGTTGTTGACACCAGACCCATGTCCAAGGGTTTCATAAAAGAGGTAAAGTTCTATATCTGAGTTATTGGGCCTTCCTTCCCTAAATACTGTTCGAAAACGGCAGTAGACCGAACCGTGAAAAGCCGAGTCTTATTGCGGGTAGGGGTTGTGGCGAGTATCTCTACTCCGCAGATTGCTATCTTAAGGATAGTAAAGATGTAGATGCAGATAAAGGTGGCACAACGTCTGAAAATAGACTCGATGTGGTCATCATGCCACGGGACTCTGTTCCTGGACAGTGACAATGGGGCGCCAGTCATTTGATCCGTAGCATATTTGAGATATTGGAACATGTTTTGAGTAACAAAACATTTCTTAAATTAAGTAATGACTCTTAAGTGTCAATCCTTAACATAACGCATGTAATATAATACTTTTAAAACTTTGTCCTCTTCCCCATGTTAATAGATGAATTCAAGATGAGTTCGTGTGATATTAACATTGAGACACACAACCTTTGCTCGTTCCGGGTTCGATTCCCCATATGGGTACAATGTGTGAAGCCAATTTCTGGCGTCCCCCGCCGTGATATTGCTGGAATATTGCTAAAAGCGGCGTAAAACCATACTCACTCACTCACGCAACCTTTCATAAACTCACCAACAAATCTGCAAACTCACTCACTCACCCGACCGTCCAACCACACATCCACTCCCTTGGATATTCACTCACTCACCCAATACCAAACCTGCTCACACCTCAACACATTTATCCACTCACTGGTCCACCCATCCACCTACTCATTCATTCATCCACTCACCCTTACTTTCGTTTGGTGATAACACGACAATTAGTTGTCACATTGTCGCGTTTTTATATTTTATTCTGCATTTTCTAACAGTTGTTGATGAATGTGCCCAGCATTTGAGCCTAACTGCCTTATTACTTCGGTGAGCACTAACATGATGCTGATAAACATATAAAAATATTCAGGATCGGCAAGTGTTCGAACCAACGATCACGGGTCCTGACACAACAAAGGGACATAACTCTGGAACGTGAATTTCAGCACTTAAGGGCCACCTAGGACTCCAATGTCTTGATGGCAAGAAATGACGTGTTGTGGAACATATAAACATACTCGGGATCGACAAGGGTTCGAACCAACGATGGAGAGTTCCTGACACCCCTGATGGACGTTTTTGTAGCAGCTCCTGAGGGCCACCTGCGACCCCGATGTCACATTGATGGCAAGAACAGATATGTAACACATGTTATATTTGGTATACACTTTCTCAGTAAAATATAGATTCTCATACTTTAGTTAGGTTGAGCACCTATTCGCCAGCACACAAAGTCAACATCTAGCCCACTCAACCACCACGGCTGTGTTACATATGATCACTATCTAAATGGCATTGTGTATCAAAGAAATTACGTATTGTGGATTGAGTCAAAAGCTTAATTTGAAAAGCACCCAGGTGTTCATATAGTTATAGATGTGTGTATAAACCTCTGAAGACATGTGGCATTGACCTTTATCGAGTTGTAAGTTCAACAATAACCATGCACATAGATATCTACAGTCCTTGCCGAGATCAGTGTGTAAATGAGTATGGTTATGCTCACCAACGGCAGCCGTGACGACAAGCAACAACGGCCAAGTCCTCATTCTCAGAATATGACGGATACAACTCTCCCCGTCAACGATGTTGCTGTGATCGTCTCAAAATGTCCAACAAGTTCTGACCCCCTCGATCGGCGTCTGTAAAACAACACTGGCAGGTAAAGGGGACACTAGGAGGAATGGACATGGGATATGGCCCTAGGTTATCAATCCGTATCCAATATCACCTGGGTCCGGTTTCTCAGATCCTCAATACTGCCTGTATGTTTACATGATGATTAAACTGGTTCAAGGGTCATGGAGACCAATAGCATTGTCTATACATAGAAAATGTTCATCTGAGGTTCCGAGATGCTGTTCCGAGTGAGTGAGAAGTCGTATGTATGTATGTGTATGTATGTATGTATGTATGTATGTATGTATGTATGTATGTATGTATGTATGTATGTATGTATGTATGTATGTATGTATGTATGTATGTATGTATGTATGTATGTGTGTGTGTGTGTGTGTGTGTGTGTGTGTATGTATGTTATATGTATGTATGTCTGTGTATGTGTGTATGTGTGTATGTATGTATGTATGTATGTGTGTATGTATGTATGTATGTGTGTATGTATGTATGTATGCATGTGTGTGTATGTAAGTGTGTATCCATGCATGCATACATGTATGCCTCTGTGTGTATCAATGCATGCGTGTGTGTGTGCGTGTGCGTATGCGTGTGCGTGTTGAAAGAAGCCAAGTGTGTATTAAGTATACTCTTCCAAAAAAGGAAGCACATGGGTGACATTGATATGAGACATTTCAAATATTTTTCAAAATTAAACTAGTGCTCAAAAGAAAACTATACACCGCACAATATTACATAAAATTCACAAAAATATCAAATGAAGTGATAAAATCATACTGTGCCATGTCACACACGTACAGACTCATCCTTTCATGGAACCCACGGTGAAACAAGTTAGCGAATCCCCGGAACGTCGAAAAAACTCCAAAACGACTTTTTCTGATGTAACACGAATGCACGTGCATACTGACGGTATTAAACGGCCTGCGCGACACGTGAGCAACACAGTTATATAAAGAACACAAAACATATACCACATTTGAGGCAAATCGAAGGAGAGAGTGAGATGTCGGAATGACCCTACAAGGAGCTAAGCACACCATCATTGTCTGAATCTTCGGCTGCACCCGAGCAACTGTCATCAGACAAAAACATGTCAGACAGGCCTAAGAGAGGTCGAACATGTGTGACAACGCCCGATGATGATCGCTACATCCAGACAATTCATCCGAGAAATCGTTTTGTAACAGCGACGTCAACGACAGCGACGGCACAAGGACTACAGGCCCTCGTGTCTTAGCGAGGATTTAAGATTTTTTAAAATATATACAAATTTGAGATGACCCGACTCGAAATGCTTCATAGTGCAATGATACATCATGACAAGGCCGGACACTTCGGTGCACCCTACCCGCCCTACATCGCTACGCTACAATCGTATGCAATCGATTAAAAATTTAATGTAAATATAATCATGGATAATAGCCTATCAAACACCACTCATGACACCCCCAATTCTTTATTGTTATTTCTGCAAGTCGATTGAAACCTGATTTTGACTCTTGACGATATATCCGCACAAAACGTGGGTGTGGTCAAAGCAAGCCCTTCACTCTAAGAATGGGCAGTTCTGATGAATCGTGAGCAGGGGCATTGCCTATATAAGTCCATTTTGTTTTTAGACGGTCATTGGTATTTTTTAGCTAAACGAAAGAATATTGTTATGCCGCGACTCACTGCCATTACCCGTGAAGATCATCGTTAGAATTGAGCTTCAGTAACCCATGCTTGTCGTAAGAGGCGACTAACGGGATCGGGCGGTCAGGCTCGCTGACTTGGTTGTCACATGTCATCGTATCCTAATTGCGTTAAAGCGTTCGCTCGTCACGCCGGAAGGCCCGGGTTCGATTCCGCACATGGGCCAAATGTGTGAAGCCCATTTCTGGTGTCACCCGCCGTGGTATTGCTGGAATATTGCTAAAAGCGGCGTGAACTATACTCACTCACTCGCAAGAGGAATGGGCGAGAATTCCATAAGGTTGACTTCAAAGACTTATTCAATCCATGCTGAGATGAACAGTTTTGCTGGCTCATGATAGCTACAACAGATCTAGATACTATAAGCTATGCATGTTTACAGATCTATTATACTGAGACATTTGGCCGCAACTGATCCAGAATTGTATGTGTCATCTCACTTAAAGTTAACAGATAAAATTCGCGAAAATACACATATGGTGCATTTCTTTTAGGGGGTGAGTATATCGGTTGGAATTTAGAAAACAATTATATTTTGCGATAAAGTAAAAGTAATTTCTGGGTTGAATGGAGCATCCATGTTGATCCTATAAAAATCATTTTCGTTAATCTGGACTTGTATACAGACAAGATAGAGTTACTTTACACTCATGCAGTACTGAACGTACAGTACAATCTCAAACAGGGCTGAATACGACATTGTTGCTATTTAAAGTAATTGTAGTTTCTCTGGGTATATATAGTCTGACCAGAAATTATGACTTGACAAAATACTAATTGTTCACCTGTCTTTGAATCTGGAGTTATGTTCTGCTCATATTCACATTTAAAACGTGAGTAATGAATGGAAAAAAATATATTTTTACAATCTTTAAATTCTCAATAATTTCTGGTTGTACTGTACATGGCTAGCTAACATGAATCCAAATTTTAATTTATACCCTTTTCTAGTTGAGACCTGAAATTATTGACATAAGTTAAGTCACGACAATGACGAATGTATCTGGAACAATGTCTTAAATCCATGTAATGGAGACATTAAACTCAACCGGGGCACGAATGCGAGTCACCAGTTTTCTGAGTTCATGATGTCGATCACTGGATTGGCTGGTCCACACTTGATTATTTACAGACCGCTGCCACATAGCTTGAATACTTCTGAGTGCGACGTTAAACAACGGTATGGTAGTAAAGCCTGTCATAAAGACCCATCTAGCAGCAACAGTAACTGTTGTAGGGCTTCCTAAACACGACTAAGACCCATCTAGCAGCAACAGTAACTGTTGTAGGGCTTCCTAAACACGACTAAGACCCATCTAGCAGCAACAGTAACTGTTGTAGGGCTTCCTAAACACGACTAAGACCCATCTCTCAGCAAACAGTAACTGTTGTAGGCCTTCCTAAACACGACTAAGACCCATCTTCCTAGCAGCAACAGTAACTGTTGTAGGGCTTCCTAAACACGACTAAGACCCATCTAGCAGCAACAGTAACTGTTGTAGGGCTTCCTAAACACGACTAAGACCCATCTCTCAGCAACAGTAACTGTTGTAGGGCTTCCTAAACACGACTAAGACCCATCTAGCAGCAAACAGTAACTGCTTGTAGGGCTTCCTAAACACGACTAAGACCCAGACTGTTGTAGGGCTTCCTAAACACGACTCTAAACACGACTAAGACCCATCTAGCACAACGGCAAACACGACTAAGACCCATCTAGCAGCAAAACACGACTAAGTCTAGCAGCAACAGTGTTGTAGGGCTTCCTAAACACGACTAAGACCCATCTAGCAGCAACAGTAACTGTTGTAGGGCTTCCTAAACACGACTAAGACCCATCTAGCAGCAACAGTAACTGTTGTAGGGCTTCCTAAACACGACTAAGACCCATCTAGCAGCAACAGTAACTGTTGTAGGGCTTCCTAAACACGACTAAGACCCATCTAGCAGCAACAGTAACTGTTGTAGGGCTTCCTAAACACGACTAAGACCCATCTAGCAGCAGTAACTGTTGTAGGGCTTCCTAAACACGACTAAGACCCATCTCAGCAGCAACAGTAACTGTTGTTGGGGGCTTCCTAAACACGACTAAGACCCATCTCGCAGCAACAGTAACTGTTGTCGGGCTTCCTAAACACGACTAAGCTGGAAAAAGGTGATCTCCAAACAACTGCTGGTCTTGCTGTAATGTGATAATATGGAGGCATGCGCTTTTCCCCTTATATTAACATAACGCATCCTGGAAAGTCCCAAACTATGCTGGATTTGTCTACGCTTTTCTTTGAGAGTCCACGCATACAAATGCACATTCGTGACCCACTCGTGTTATTCCGGGACAAGCCGGAAAGGGGCGAGTGGTGACCAATGACAAATGTAGTAACTTCAACACTAAAAAATTGCTAATATTAGACTGTAATACATTCCAGACAACTAATTATTGTCAGTACACAATGCTATGAGCTTCTGCTGACTCTTTAAAGAATAAATGTAATGCAAGAACATAATTGTTTAACAATTTAATAATATTGACGTATTGACAAATAAAGTGAAGTGTAATGAGGCATAAAAAATCTAACAAATTGCCACACAATACAGTTTGTGTCGTATTCCGGAAGAAAATATTGATCTTGCTGTATCCTATCTGTGAACAGGTAATCACGACAACATTACCTATACACCTGACTCCATTGATGACATTTCAATCAATACAACGCTCACATACAATGGCACCGCTGACGGACTCTAGAGAATATACATCCATAATGCACACGGACATACGTTATCTTATTCATGACCCCCTCCATACAACCTCTTATGAAGCTCAGTGAAGCGATTTCCAACTAGCCATTTTGAAAGAGAATAGGCTTTTAGATTCTAAAATCAATGACTACCAACTTGTTGTAAAACAATCCGACAACTATAAAGAGGACCATTAACGTGATGATGAACCGCTCCAGGAACTGATGTAGAAAGCTCACAACCTGGCCAATAGACGGTATTGTTATTTTGGAAGGATGATGTGTGACCCTACGTCTCGCTACACTGGTTCTGTCATCGCAGCCAAGAGCTTTGTTTTGTTGTTCAACTCGACCAGATCACGAAGGAAGAACAGCTTGCCACTGAAACAATCACCAAGGAGAACTTCACTCGCTAGAATCAGTGACAATGTCATGGAGGATTCGAAAAGGTAGACTGTTGTCCCTGTTTATGTTCAGGGTGTTTAACTAATTAACAATTTATATATTTAATTATTTGATAAAGGGTTTGTCGTCTTTATTGACTATGAATTCTGTACCGCATACACCGTGAGTGCAGATTTAAATGACGT